CTGGAAAGTGGGTGACTCGTCATGACCAAGTGGCTTTGTCCCAGGTGTGTGGGGCGGGCTTCACACCTGAAATCCCATCAGTGTAAGTCACCATGTGAACAGCAAAAACCCTACAAATCACCTCAGTAGGCACACAATCATTTGACATAACCCAGGCTCTCTTTCTGATAGAAGTCACTCAACAAACTGAGTAGAGGTGAACTTGCTCACTTTAGTGAGGAACGTCTCTGAAAACCCACGGACTTAGTGGCGAAACACTGAGTGCCGTCCCCTGCAACTGGGGACGAGGTGAGGATGGCCACCTGTGCTGTGACTGTGCAACTTGTACTGGAGGTTGCAGCCAGTGCGATAAGGCAGGAAAGAGAAACATGACATCCAGATTAGAAAGGAAGAAGTAAAATTGTCTTTATTTACGGATGAAGTGATTTTCTGTGTAGACATTCAATGGGATCAACGAAAAAGCCCCAAGAATTAATAATGATTTTAGCAAGTTTGCAGGATAGAAGAGCAATCAGAATTGAAAGTTTAAAAATACCATTTACAATGCAATAATGAAGGAATAAATGTGGCAACAGATGGGAAAAGCCATTCACTGGGACTGATAAAACATGGAGGGCAGGGACTGGAGCAGACCTGAGTGGGGGAGGCACGCACTAGGTTAGGGGGTTAGAAGACTCAATATCGCTAAGATGACAGTGGTCCCTAAACAGATCTGCAGATTCAACAGGACCCCGTTAAAAAAAATCTCAGCAGGCTTTGTTTTTGGAAACTGACAAACTAATTCTGGAAATCATATGGAAAGGCAGAGGACCTCAGATAACCAAAACGACGTTGAAAGAAAAGAGCAAATGTGGAGAACGAAGACGACCTAACTTCAAGGGTTTGTTATAAAGCTCAGACACTAACACCGGGGTGTCTGTGCAAAGATAAGTGACGCGTTGATGGAACAGAAGAGTCCGGAGTCCGACTCGCACCGACCGGGGAACTCGGCGGGAGAAGGGCAGGCTCGTCAGCGGACGGTGGTTTGGATATCAGGTTCTTTACATGGAAGCGACGTAACCAGATTGCTACTTCGCCCCCAAACGGAACAGCACGCTGTGAATGGGCTAAATTGAAGTGTAAAAGAAAGACATTCTATGGCCCTTCTTTATGACTCAGGAGGTGGAGAAGGATCTATTATTACACAGGACACAAAAGGCGAGATAAAGGCAAATATCGATACATTTCACTACGTAGACCCACAGCACTTTTGTGGGAAAAGAGGACCGTAAACACAGCTGAGAGAAAAGCAACAACTTAGAATGTTTGCCACACACATAGATAGACAGAGGATCGGCAGTAAAATCATGTAAGAAGCTCCGGGAAGTCAGCGAGAAAAAAGCCAAATAACCCCGTGGCAGAACGAGCCATGGGAAAGAGCAGGCAAAGCACAGCAGAGGAACCAACGGCCAGATGGAGAGATCGTCAGCCTCACCAGTGACCAGAACGCAAACGCAGCGACCCTCCTGGAGCAGCTTGCCCGTCCACTCGCCACTCATATAAGTCCGAGCGTTACTGAGAATGTGACTCGCTGTCGTCCCTGCCGGAACCCTGCAGGGCTGTGTTTGGGGGTGGCATCCGAGGCTGGCTGTGTCCTCCTTTCCTGCCGTGGGTGGCAGTGACACAATGGTTACTCCACCACGAGTCGAACACCTCACGTCTGTGCACTTTTCTGCACAGGCACCACACTCCAATTAAAGCAAAGATGGGCCACCGAGAGCCGGGGGCGACACAGCATTTTGGGAACAATGAGAAACGCATGACTTACGAAGCAGCTGAGCCCCAGGAGAAGCTGGCATCGTGGAAGGGCAGGGAAGGCAGGGGCGGCCCATGGGGTGGCAGCTGCTGGGCCACCCGCTCACGGAGGAGGTCAGCGACCGACCGTCCACTGTCAGGAACAGGAAAGTCATCGCCCAGGCCGGCGGGGCCAGAGGGTCTTTCCGGGGGGGAGCGGTGGGTGGTGGCAGGAAGCCAGGCTGGTGGGGCCCCAGGCGTGAGCGCGGGACGGGGTGTGTGGGCGAGTCCTCCAGACCCTGGTCGTGAAGGGGAGAGGAGCACTCTGCCGGCTGCTGGAAGGGGACGTGGAATCAGGCTTCGCCACGGGGACACCGACGAGTGTCGCAGAGGTCCTGTCCACTCCCACCTCACGCACGGCGGCCCGTCCCACACCGGCAGTCCTGCGCCCCACTTGCTCGCCTCGCCCACCATGACCTGCAGGCCCCACGGTCACCTGATCCTGCGGCTCTCGCCCCACCGGGAGGCCAGCCCCTCGGAGCCGGAGTTTGGCTGCTCTGTTCTGCTCTCTGCTCTCTGCTGGGAGCCCATCTGCAGGTAGTAGATGCTCAACAAACCTTCGTGGTGAAAGAGAGAGAGAGGGGAGGAGTCTGGGTAGAGAGAGGCTGAGGGTGGAGGGCAGAGTGGCGGAGTCGGGAGCTCAGCCTGGTGCCCGGGGGGCGGGGATGACGCAGAGGAAGCCGTGGGCGGCGTGAGATTGGGAGGGGGCGGGAGGTCGAGGGGGGGTCTTGGTTCTGCAGGGTGAGGGTGGGGGAGTGGAGAGGGGCTGGTGCCCAGCCTTGGGGCCCAGTGAGGTCGGAGGTCACCGGCTCCAGGGCCTCCAGCCTGGCTCAGAAGCTGACTTTGGGTGGGCTGCTGTGTTGGCCCAGGACATCCCAGAGGGCGGGGTGGTGTTCTGGCAGAACTGACAGATGGGGAACACGGGGTGAGGGGTCTCCCCAAGATCAGGAAGGGGAAAGGACCTGAATTAGTGACAACCACGAGGGTTCTGGAGTGCCGACGAGGCCAGCTCCTGCTAAGCCAGAGCGGGCCACGCCAACCTGGCAAGGCTGCCCCTCTGCACACCTGCCCTTCACAGGTGGGGCTGTGCTGGCCCAGACCCCTCGTGGTCAGCACTGGGACCCAGTCTGTCTGTCCGAGTCTGAGGCCGAAGTGGTTTTGCTCTACTGAGCTAGAGAGGTGAGGTGGGTACAGAGAGGGGGGGTTGTTCAGGATGTGGGGTGGGGGGCATTCGAGCGGACCACGTGTGGGGGATGGAAGACGTGGGTGTCATCCTCCTTCACCTCCGCAGCCCAGCGGCCCGTGTTTGCCGCTCCTTGCACTGCATCTGCTCACCTGGACTGGCCACCGAGCACGCACGAAGGTGGTGGCCCTGGCCCAGCGCCAGGCGTCTCCAGGGTCTTTCTTGCCCTTTCCATTCTGCCGTGCAGAGTGCTGGTGGGTGGGGTGCCTTCACTCCCTCCCAGGCCCACTCGGAGCCCTTCTGTGGAAGGAAAGCCCAGCTGCAGCTGTGAACACCCCCCTCGCTCCCCGCATGACCTCTAGGGCAGGTGGCAGCTCCCGCCTTTCCCACTCCCTACCCCCACCCTCCTGCCCCGCTGCAGCTGAGGAGCTACCCGGAGTCCCCGACAAACCAGTCCGGAGAATAATAAAGAAATAGGCTATACAAAAGTTCACTCTCCCAATTGGTTTTAGTAAAATAAAAGCTCCTTTGTGCTCCTTTGTGGGTGGAACATAATAAATTTCCGTGGGTTTGTTCACTTTCCAATATTTCCCACTGACCAATTCCAAAGAAAGCCATTTAATACAGCGAAGAGCATCACAGAATTGGAACTGGGGGAGAAGGGCCCCGCCTCCACCTGGGCCTGTGGCACCCCCAACCCTCCACCCTGGTCACCCCCAGGCAGTGGGCGCATTTCCTTCCCTCCCCCTCCAAGGAGGGTTTGCCAAGCCCCTAGGAAAACCCCGAGTGGGTTGGTCATCCCTTCCCCAACACCTCTGCGCCCCTGCCTGGGCCTGTGCACCATGCACCAGACTCTGTTCATCCTGCAGGGGGCCAGCCTGGAGGAGGCGGCCAGCTGATGAAAGCCTGACAGATGTTCTGACGGCCTGTTTTGAGCCAGGCCCTGTGGAGCCTGTGGCTCAGGTTACATTGGTGACAAGGGAAGGTGGTTCAGTGGGGGATGTCCCTGACTGGATGGGGAGGAGGCAGGACCCCCAGCTTTGGGGCCTGTTTTCTGAGCGTCCCCAGGGCTGTTTCAACACCTTCTCACCGGTGAGGAGAAAGGTGAGCCGGAGGAGAGACCACGGGGCTCTGCGGGGGGGGGGGGGGGGGCGCAACTGCCCCGCCCTGTCACCCAGAGCTTTCTCGACCTCGTACAGTACGGACCGCGGGTTCCCCACCCCAGTACCCTCCCAGCCCCCCAGATTCCTCCGGCGGCTCCCGTTTTGCGCCGGACGACCCTCAGAACGCATCCTGCCACCCTCTGCCACCAGTGAAGGGGGCCCTGTACTCCCCATCCCTGGTCTTCTGGTCCCTGCCCTCTGCGTGGCGGAGCTTCCCGCCTGCCCTCCCCTCTTCTAATCCCTCTCCAATCGGTCATCTCTCCCGTAACTGCAGCACCTGGCACTCAGGGTGCCCCTCAGAGCGCAGCTGACCAGCGCCCCCTCCCCAACCTGGCCTCTCCTTCCTTCCTCCTGCGCTGGCGCACCCGGGCACCAAAGGTGCCCACCCGCGAGGACCGGAGCGCGGAGGTGCGGTCTCTGCCGGGGCGCGGCTCCACCTGCAGGGCGCTGGGCGGCGGGCGCGCGGCGGGCGGCGGGGCCGCGGGGGCGGAGGAGCGGACGGCGTGAGGGAGGGGCCTGCGACAGCGGCGGCGGCGGCGGCAGCCCCAGCCCGCGCAGCCCGGCTCGGCCCCGGCTCGGTCGGCGTAGCGCCGCGCGCGTCCCCTCCCGCCGCCACCGCAGCCAGGCGCCCCGGCACCAGGCCGCCGCCGCCGCCGCCGCCGGGCGCACGGACGCAGCGCGCACCGGCCGGGATGCGCGCCCGGGCCCCGGCCCGCCCCCACCCGCGGCCACCGCCCGCCCGCCGCGCGATCGCCTGACCGCGGCGCCCGCCCGGCCGCCCCTGCCTGTCCCCGGCCGCCCCCGGCCGCGATGCTCGCCCCCCGGGGCCCCGGCGGCCCGCGCCCTTGCTAGGCTGCGGCGGCATGGCCCGCGCGCCCGGCGCGACCTCTGCGGATTGCATCGGTGTGCGGCAGCGGGGCATGCCCAGGGCACCGGGCACGGCCTTCAATGGGCGAGGACACGGACACGCGGAAAATTAACCACAGCTTCCTGCGGGACCACAGCTATGTGACTGAAGGTAACGTACGTGTTGTCTGAGGCCCCCTCCGGCCGGCCGCGGCGTGGGGATGCCGTCGCACCGAGTGCCCTCCGAAGGTTTGGACCGCGCGCTGTGTGTCGTGTCCCCCCACCCCGCCCCACCCCACCCTACCCCACCCCGGCTCCGGCCCCGGAGGGAGGGAGCCCCAGGGTCCCAGCCGCCGCTGCCCGGCGGCCGGAGGGGCAGCGCCCTCCTCGCCGTCCCTCCCGCAGGCGCTTTCCGCCCCCAGGCCTGCGGGCATCCAGGATCCGCTGTGGCTGTCATTTTTAAAAAGGCCATCCCCGCGGTTAATCTGGTGAAGAAATCCCGGGCAAATCTAATGGTTTAGAACCCTGAACTGCCGTTTCAGCCCTGCCCAAAGCCTGCAGAATTTTCTAGGCTGCCCACTCCCCAGAGACCAGAAGGGACCCAGAAAAAAAATGCATGGCCAGATTCTCCCCAGGGGCAGTGTCCTGGCCCCGCCCTGTGCCCCCAGAGGCAGGGTCCCTGGGTGGTGGGAGAAGGCGGCTGGTTGGGGGTTGGTCTTTTATTCCTGGTGAATTATCCTGAGATAGAAGCAGCTGGCCCCAAACTGTCAGAATTTGCCAAAAAAAAAAAAAAGTGGGGCATGCCACTCCAAAGGGGCCCTGCATTTGAATGCCCCTAAATTGTCCCTACAAGCCCAAGCCCAGCCGCCCAGAGGCTGGTGGGAATCGGAGGGTCAACGCCCCTCTCTCATAGGCCAGTAACTTCCAGGGGTCCCTCTGCGCCACCTCCCGGTGCCCAAGGGCGGGCGGGGGGAGCTGCTGAGCCGCAGCGCGGGGCCTGCCGAGTGCAGCCGGGTGCCGGATGGGGAGAGCTAGCACGAGGTGTCGGCCGGCTGCTGCGGGGTCGCGTGCTGGAGGCCTTCTCGGGCTTGGGGACTGGAGCTGCTTCCCTGGGGACTGCTGAGGGAGAGGGTGGGTTTTTGGCAAGAGGTCCCCACGGATGCACCAGTGGGAGGGGCCCTGGGCGCCGCGTCTGCGGGGCTGGTGTGGGTGGGTGCCTGGGTCGGGGAACCTGTGTGGGCTCCGCGGTGGCGACGGTGACTCGACTCCCCATTGGTGTCCCGCCACCTTGCTGCCTGGCTTCTCCAGAAGCGAAGGCAAGCGGGTAGCCGAGCCCTTCGGAGGCCGTTGGGGTTTGGGGCTCCCAGGGCGTCCCAACCCACAGAGCAGGGGCTGGGTGTGTCACCTGGGCCCCGGGGGCTCTGTGGGTGGCGCTTCCCGCTCCCGGGAGAAGAACCGTTGAGTCATGCTTTGCTGATGGGTGTGTGTGGGGAGAGCGGGCTGGGCTGCCCAGGGCCAGGTGCTCTCTGCCGGGAGCTCGGGCCCAGGGGGCTGAAAGCCCCTTTGTCACTTGCCTGGGTGAGGTTGAGGAAGGATCAGCGCGGGCATCCCGTCAGTGGCAGAGGGTGAGAGGCCTCTGAGTTGCTGGCAGGGCGTCAGTGGTCTGGCACTGGCCAAAGGGGATCTTGGCAGGCACTCGGGTCCGGCTTTCTAGAGAAAGCCTCCCTTTTCCCGTCTCCATGTGGAGGACGGGGGACAGCGCACAGGGCTTAGCGCCTGACCCACAGGGAGCATTTGCAAACATTATTCCCTTCTTCATGCTCTCTGACCCTCTTTCTTTCATGAATTCACCAGCTCTTAGCAGGAGGGAGCGAGGGCCAAGTGCAGAGTTAGAGTAGAAAAGATGGTTTGTACTTCCTCTTTTTAAAAAAGATTATTTATTTATTTATTTTTAGAGAGAGAGGGAGGGAAGGAGGGAGGAAGACAAATATCGGCGTGTGGTTGCCTCTTGCACGCTCTCTACTGGGGACCTGGCCTGCAACCCAGGCATGTGCCCTGACTAGGAATCGAACCAGCAACCCTTTGGTTTGCAGGCCCACGCTCAATCCACTGAGCTATACCAGCCATGGTTTTACTTCCTTTTTATTCATTCAGCAATTAGTTCCTGAGCACCTACTGTGTATCAGTCACTGTTTTAGCCCTGGGGACGGGTCAGAGACCCTGCCCTTGGGCAGCCTGCGCTCTAGAAGGGACTCCTGCTAGGTGACAGGGAGGAGACTCTTCTCAGGGTCTCAGTTTCCCCATCTGTAAAGTGGGCGTGGCTAGTACCAGCCTGCCTGTCGGTCTCGGGGTGTCTGCGAGGGTCCAGAGAGGTGCTGCGTGAGGAGCCACCCTGGAAGTACATGCTGTTAACTTTATAGTGGGCAGCTGAAGTACCATGAGCTCCCTTGGTGCCCTGGGGCCTCACAAACACTCCCATGCCCCTTACCCCCATTTTATAGATGAAGGAACTGAGGCTTGGCGGTCTGCACCCCACACTGAGCGCCAGCTGTTCTGGGGCCCAGGGGTGCACAGAGGAACACGATCCGAAGTCCCTGCCCTCAGGGAGAGCAGGGTCTAGAGGAGGGAGCAATGGCCGTCACGATCTAGTCGGAATTAGATGAGATTCCCGGCCTCCCCGCAAGACCGCCACCGTTCCCACAGCTGCGCCCCTAGTCTGCAGTCCTGCCTGCAGTTCGCGCTCAGCGCACAGGACGGTCACAGACTCGGGGCAGAGGGAGTTGTGTTCAAATCCTGCTTCTGATGCCTCCTGTGCTGGGCACCCCGGGACAAGTTACTAGATCTTTCTGAGCTTCACTTCCGTTGTAAAGAGAGAATTACTAAGGACTTACAAGGTTGTTGGGACAGTGAGTGATTATGTTAATATAGAAAGCACTCAGCCTGGAGTTTGGTCTCATAGAAGCATTTACTAAACTGCGCTGTTAAAATGTAAAAGTCTTGTTCCTGTAAGAGCTTCATGAGCAAATAGTGGGCGCTGGGAGTTTGCAAAAGACCTGGGTGTTCAACTGCATGGACCCCTGGCCACTTGGTCCCCAGACGTGTCTCAGTACCCCCGGTGGCCCCGATACACTTCCTGTCCTTAGGCAGGCTGGTTTCCTCATTCCCAGGCTGTTGTGCCGCCTGCGTCCTCTACCCCTTGCTCTTCCCCTGGCTGACTCATTCTCATCCTTCAGCTCTCAAGTTCAATGCCATCTCCATGGTGTGAGTCCTGCTTGAGTCTTTGGGTCTCCTGTAACACCTCAAACACCTTGGGAAGAGCATGGGTTCTGTTTTGTTTTGTTTTTCGTTTCCCTAACTCTTGGCCCAACTCTGCTGATTGAAGGTGGAGGGTTGGGCATGGGTGCAGGTTACCTTGGGGTGCAGAGGACTTGGCCAGGATGTCTGAGTGTTGGGGAGAGGACTGCAGCTGAGGCTCTTGGGGTACTGGGTGGACCTGGGCCCTAAAAGGGGGCACTGGGGCTAGGAGAATGCCAGGAGATGCGTGTCTGTCCAGACTTTTATCTGGAGTCAGACACGGCCCGGGAAGGGCCCTTCCTGGCTCTGGTTTCTGGCTGCCACCCCAGACTCAGCTGTAGGGTGCGTGAAGCAGGTGCTCCTGGGCCAGGCTGCGTTGCAGCCTCCCTCTGCCCATCACATAGCGGTGTCTGTTCCACATGGCCGCCTTGCCCCGTAGGGCTGCATTCACCCTGCATGGCAGCATTTACCCCACACAGAGTCTCTGGGTCTGGCCCTGGGGGGCAGTGATGGACCAGACACAGAAGCTCACAGTCAGGGGCCATGGCCAGGGAGGCGGCTGGTGGTGGGTCTCTTTGGGAAGCAATGGTCGCTCCCAGCCACTTAACTGATTACACACTTTGGGGCACGTTCTTCTGCGGCCCCCTGCTTTCCTTCCTTCCAGCATCTCTGCCCTTGAACTCTGCTGTGCACAGGCCGCCCCTCCCCCGTTTCTCTAGGCCCTGTCCTTGTGCCCTTGTTGTGCTGTGGGACTTCCGAGTAATCATCTCTTCCTGCAGAGTTATCCTGATTCTACAGCTGGGGCTGTGGAAGGCGAGCTCCGAGGAGGGCAGCGACTTGCTTAGGGGTTGGAGAGGTGGGGGCACAGGCCTCTCTCCATCTGGCATTTGGGGAGGGAGTCTCTACCTCGTGCCATTGTCCCCACGTTTTGAACTCGTGCCCCATAGCACCAGCTTTCTGCCCAGGCCTCAGTGACCCTGGAGAGGGGGTGCTGCTGGCAGGAGACCTGGCGTTCAGCCAGGTTGGCACCCTGGGGCGCGTATTGTGGCCGATCCCAACAGTGAATGTTCCTCGCCCCCCTGAGAACTCGGGGGGCTCCCAGCAGGAGATCTGGGGCTGCGGCCTGGGCCAGCGTGGCCAAGCGTCACGCCGTCGCCCCTGCACTGACTGGTGGGGCATGGCCTTCGCTCTGGAGGTCAGGGGGAAAGTCGAGAGTGCCACAGGAAGCCAGGCTGAGTGCTGTGAGGGAACACGGAAGCCCCGGTGTCGCCACCAGCCACCTGGAGACCAGGGAGGCAGCAGGCCATAAGCCGTCAGCACTGCTGGTGGCAGAGGCTTTGTAGACTCGGAGGTCTGCCCTGCGAAGGGGCTCCTGTCGCTACACCGGGCCGTTCGCCACGCACTTGTTTACTTTCTATTAATCCTAACGGGGGGATGGGGGGCTCCCGGAGTGGGGCTTTTCTCATTGTCCTTCTGCAAGGTGGATGTCCAGTTCTAGTAAGATTTTCCACACCATCTCCTGGTCGTTGGTACTCGCTACTGCTTTTGGTTTTTGTCCTTGAGCCCGCAGAGCTGAGGGCGTTTTGGAGGAAGGGTTCGAGGTGGCGGCCGTGCGTGGGGGACCCGGGGCTTCAGGGGGAGGGCTTCAGTGAGACGTCTGCCGTCCACCACAAAGACACGCCTTAGCGATTCTCGGTAGTTCCTTCCAGCCTTCTTTTAAACGCCCACATCCATTTTTAAGGAAAGCTGTCATTGCTCCATGTAAACCCCTTGGAAGACGACTTTTCAAGTGGAACACGAGGTTATGGATAGTTTTCCAGCGCTCTGCCACCGGGCTGGCTTCTCGGTGTGCGGCCTCGCAGTTAGGTACAGCCCGCC